CTGGTGAAGCGTGTGTAACACGCGCAGTTGTCACCAGACCCGTCCACTTGCCAGCATCTTGTGCCCACTTGGCTATGCTTTCCGTGTGTGTGTTCGGATCGGCTGCTAAATCGCAATCATACTTCGGCACTTGTGCATTAACACCAATCGTACCATAGTTTCCCTTCACGCCACTCAAGTAGGCGGTCGCCGTCGAGGCGGAGTCTGGTACGCGCTTATCGACCGCGTAAGTCTTCGAGAGTCCAGTGTAAGGGAATCGATCGAAATAGACCTGCTCGGAGCTGTCGCCAAGAAAGGCGCGCGTGGCGGTAGTTGTCTGCACAGACATGCCATCGCCGAGAAAGAGTATAATATTCTTAGCGCGATTCGTATTCCGGCGCAAAGTTTGCTTCAGCTTCTCGGCAAGTATATTTTGTGCTTTATTCACCCAGTACTCCGTCGATTGCTCTGAGGAGTCTTCATGAAGGCTTTTGAGGCATGGTCCATTCGTTCTGGGATGATCTGTAGGGCAGAGGAAGTTCTAATGATTTCGAAATCAAATCTCATGAAATATGAACTATGATATACCTGAAAATCGAGGCTATTCTATATAGACATGCCAAGCTATCACAAAAAAAAAAAAAAAAAANAAAGTGAAAATCTTTTTTTGATTATAAAATTTATGACAATATTGTTTTATCTGAGCTGATAATTTGTTGTCAAAAGACTTTTTATTAGTTCTTGTCCGCAGCACCAACCATGTGCAATTCGTTTGACGTTATGCTTTCCTACGTAATGGAAAAGAAAAATAATCATTTTTTGAAACTTATATTTTACCCAGAATAGCTTTTATAGTGTTAAAAACTACCCTGATGTTGGTAAATTGTTCTTCATATTGTAACGGTTGGTTGGGGCTTGCCTTGCCCTCAAAAGATTTCTTAAGACAGAAAAACTAGCTGGATTACGATAATCACCTGAATATAAATGTGTATAAATAAAAAATTAATTAACCAAGTTTTTGTTTCTTGTCAAGAGCATATTGTTGTGTTCTATTTCACTTACAAAAAAAAATATTTACAATTTGAACAGGTGGTAAAATACCTCGATTGCAATATTTCACTTAACCTGTTAATTTAATATTAATTTATTTTATGAGAAGCTTTTTCTTTTCGAAGATATACACTCCAAAGTTTGCCATTGCCTGCCCAGCGCCGACCACTGTTAAAAAAAACTAGCTTTTCTAATTTAGAAGTTGCCCGGACCAAGGATCGAACCTAGGTCCTACGGAGTGGTAGCATGGACCTCTAACCACTCAGCCAGAGCTGGCCATTAATTGAATTCAATTTAAGTTTTTAAACCTGTGGCAACCGTCTTAAAAAAATATTTTTCAAATTTTCTTTTGTTGAATTTAACTCTGTTAACAGGCAACCTTCAAAGACATTTTCAAAATATATTTTTCTTAACCCCAGTTTTAATAGTATCTACATTTGGCTTAACAATCAAATTGAGTTCAACTTTTTAAACAGATGGCAATCCCCCTAAAAATATTTCCGAAAAAGCTTTTGTTATACCTTTTCCAACTGACAATTTTTTTTAATATTTAACATAAATTATTGATTAAATAGAATTTAATCTTTAAAAAGACGTCAACCCTTTTACGAAATGAAGCTTCCTCAAACCTCTTTCATTTGGCACCTATATTTTAGCTTCTTAAACAGTAGGCAACCTTCTTCAAAAAATATTCGCTCTGTTAAACATTCTCGGGAGGACTGAAGCTAACACCACCGCTTTCTAAGAAATGCAATCTACGGTGATATGCAAGAAACGCGTGTCGTTCACCCCAGTTGACGAGCATCTCGTCACAATCTGCATCAAAGCATGGTTTGTCAATGTGTCGCTAATTGGCGTCAGGCTCTGGCAGCAGATAAGGACTAGGCGTCCAAGAATCTCTTCGCGCACTTACTAGCGCTGCACTTCCCATGTTATAAAAATCATGCTTGTCGATGAGCTATAGGGCGGGAAAGTAAGTGGGCTTAGGTCCCACTGTCGGAGCATTCAGCCACCACAACGAAACATCCGACAACGGACTTAGGCTGATCGAGCTCGCCGGTCCTCGAAGAATGACAGTCTGCAGCATTGGATTCCAGAGAGAAAAACTAGAAACCAAATTGATTGTATAGTGATAGACAGAAGACATACCTCGAAATTTTAGAGTAGGACCAAAAAGCTACTCAGGTCAGCAGCAAAAAATTAGCACAAGGAAGGTTCGCCATCTAAAAACTGCAGTTAAAATGGATAGCCTGCACCTTCGCTGCTTGACTTTAAGACCCACTCTGTTAGCACACGCGGGAGCTATCTGTGGACATTATACACAAAACACGACTGCGGCAAATGCCTGCGATAGTAAGAACAAGAAAATTAGGCCTCTTACGAGAGGTCCCTAAAAAAATAAACACGGCTATTTTTACAGTCGCCTTCGGTATCACGAAAAGGCACTCTCCTTATGTCGCGTCGTTCGAATGTGTATTCCCCGCGAAACTAATAAGCCTGTGAAAAATTACCCCGTCAGAATTGGGAAGGACCTCTCCGAGCTGTTCGATACTAAACAATATTTCAGACAGGGAGACTCGCCAACGTGCTACTTCTCTAATCTGCTGCTGGAGACGATAATAAGCGCTGGACTGAATCTCTCAACTACAATCTTTTATAAGAACTGATATCGACGGCATCTGTGCTGACTTCTAGAAATTTGATATGTGTAGCAAAGAGCGTGGGTCTTGTGCTGAATGAAGAAAAAACGAAGTATCCCCTGCCATAAAAAACAAACAGTCACTGTTGACAGCCATAAATTCAAAAAAGTAAAACACTTCGCTTATCTAGGAAGCAGCATTATCACCGATAATAATGTGGACCTTGAAATCCAACGGAGAACCACTCTTGACAACAAGCGCTATTTTGAACTGAATAAGCAACTGAGAAGTAAAGGCCTCTCTCGTGCTCCTGCCGTGTATGGTGGTGCGGAAGCATGGCCAATGAAAACATCTGATACGGCGGCCCTTGAAGGGTTCGAGAGAAAAATGTTCGCAGATATGCGGGTCTTTGCGCGAGGACAAGAGCGAATACTCCACACGCACGATGAAACGGGGAGCTGCATGAGCTTTATAACGGTATCAAAATGATGCAGCTTTATGGCCTTATTCATAAAAAATAAAGTAGCTTTATAAAAGGTTTAT